TAGTTAAAGACATTCATTGTAAATAAGTTGTGATCTTCATGTTTATGCAGGAGAAAAATCAGAATGTGATCGACCTGCTTTGTTAAATATTAACAGACATGAAATATCGACACACACATTAAACATATTTAATAAAACCGCAGCTGATAATCACAGACTCTGTGTTAGTGATTGTTTGTGTGACTCTCCCTCGCCTCTCTCTCCAGTCTCCCCTGCATCCTATACCTGCCTCGCCCACCAGTCCACAGTCCATCCTGGATGGCAGTAACTCCAACCTGTCAGGCAGCGCCAGCTCCGGAGTCTCCTCCCTCAGTGAGAGCAACTTTGGTGGCCCCGCCTCCTCCTCTGACCCCACCGCCAGCCGCACAGACACCCTGGAGTCCGTCCCCAGCAGCCAGGCTTGGACCACCGACCAGGAGGACCTCGACTCACCTTACCAGCCCGTCAGGTACAGCGTCTCCGAACCTGAAGTCCTGGATGGAGTCAAGCCCCCGCCCTGCCGCAGCCACTCTGCCCCGGGAGGCGTCACCCCGGCTCAGGTGGGGTCCCAAATCCAACCCCAGGCTCCGGGTTCGACCTCCATCGGAGTTCAACAAATGCAGCAGCAGGATGTGCCGCCACACCCACAACACCCCCACTACTACCACCAACTCCACCATCACTTCCACCCACACTACATCCCCCACCACCCGCCTCTCTACCACTTCCATGAGCCTCCGGCGCTGCCCCCTAAACCCTACCTCCGAGAGGGCTGCATCCCTGAAGAGGACTCCCTGATCAGCCAGTCTGCAGCGCCTCCACCTCCTGCACCGCGGCCCATGCCACGCAAGATCTCCCAGCCCATAATCGCAGCCACCAAGGATGAGCAGGCTAAAGTGGCGTGGGAGCACGGCATCGGCGAGGAGTAGGACGCCCCCTCATGGTTTATAGGGACAGATAAGAAACTCTTCTCAAAAGAGAGAAAGAAAAGACGTGAGAGCGAGAGCCAAACTAAAAACTGGGTCATGAAGTTGAGGGTAGCTCCGATTCGCCCCCAGCTGTCCTCCAGTTACC